AAAATATAGTGTTACAAGATGTGATACTAATTAATATTTTGATTTTCTATTTGTAAATTTGTAATATCATTTTTTATCACTCACTTTTGTACACTTTTTAAACATACCATTATCTTCTATCGATGTTTTACATCTTTAAAAAAGTTAGTCGAATCCAATATCACGGTAAAAAAATCGATAATACCCAAATAAAACTTTTTAACTGTAAGCTGGAGCGGTAAGCGTTACAACATAGTGCAAAGCTGTAAGAATAAACTGTAAAAATAAAATTGAGTATACCGTTTTTGGATATCGGTTTTATGATTGGTAAAATCTAAAACGTTACAAAATGTAAAATGGTTGTAAGCAATACAAAATGTGCTACAAATCAAAGCTATGTAACTTGAACGTTCCATCGAAATACCAATTTCGTTGTTATCAATATGTATCATTTGTGGAAATAATAAAACTAAGGACACCAAATAAATTACGGATTTTAAGTTCGAAGCATCATCGTAAAACTGAATATATTCTTTCACTGAACATATTCTTGTTGTCGCCTTTGTCTTTTCTTTCCAACTTTTGGTATTAGTGATATATGATTTTATTGTCATTTTAAGATATGACATTAGCTGGGTTTTATTGTATCTCACGTGGATTATATTTACCTCTTAGTATTGTAATTTTTCCAATCTGTTTTAATAACATTAGTTGATGACAAAAAGTAAAATAATTATCATTAGCTGTCTATCCATCTCAACATGCAATATAATCGTATTGTACCTTACATATATTTAACAATTGAGGCGTTTGTATAGAATATACAACACATTATTAACAGTACTACATATAATATATACACACATGTACATACAAAGCTAGTGAACAAAGAAATAAGACTCATGGTTCGACAAATTTGGGTTGTCTAACATGTGATCCATCTTGGATTACTCTCAGTGATTTGGTTAATACAAAGATTGAAATTTTTAATTTTAAACCAAATTAAATCTAAGTTGAGTTGACAAAGGCCATAAACTCGCAATCTTTCGAATTTGAATTTCACTGGAAACAAATAACACATACGCCAGAGTTAATCTTCTGATAAAAAAAAATAGTGGGAGAAATGTTTTATTCACCATAAAATTAATTTGAATTTTTCTGAATTACCTGGTTAAGTAAAAAAGTTACCTCGCGTTTTTACATCCGCATTGGCATTTTTATATCACAAAATAGGTAAACATATTATAGGATGAGTGTGGTAGATGAAGAT